CACAGATTCTACATCTTCATTATCTACCTGGATGGATAACTCCTCTTGTATAACCCTTGGCATCAAAGAACTATGAGTATTCTCCATTGTTATTGTTGGCAAATCATAATCTGTGATTTGTTTTCCATGTTGAATCAAAAGGTCATTCAAATCCTTTAATAACATGTTAATGCAACTTGTTGTCGCAGTGGAACATGTTTTAACACATTCAAGAAAGCGGTTGAGCATTGGGGCTTTTTAGAAAGTGATAATAGTATTCATGAATGCTTAGTTGAAGCATCAAGTCTACGAATGCCTTATGCTTTAAGGAGTTTGTTTGTAACTATATTAATCTTTTGTGAACCAACCAATATTAGACAACTTTGGGATGATTTTTACACCTACATGATGGAAGACTATCCTTCGACAAGCGTTGCTGCGACAACAAGTTGCATTAACATGTTATTAAAGGATTTGAATGACCTTTTGATTCAACATGGAAAACAAATCACAGATTATGATTTGCCAACAATAACAATGGAGAATACTCATAGTTCTTTGATGCCAAGGGTTATACAAGAGGAGTTATCCATCCAGGTAGATAATGAAGATCTAGAATCTTTGCTTAAATTAAATAATGATCAATTAATTGCATTCAATGCAATTATGGATGTTATCAACAACAAACAAAGTCAAGTTTTCTTTGTGGATGGACCAAGAGGAACAGGTAAAACATTCCTTTATCGCACTTTAATTGCAAAAGTGAGAAGCAAGGGACAAATTGTTTTAGCAACTACCTCATCTGGTATAGTTGTCACACTATTACCTGGTGGTCGAACTGCACATTCTAGATTTAAGATACCAATCAATGTAGAGGCAGATTCATTTTGTTTTATAAGTAAACAGTCTGATCTTGCGAAACTAATTAGAGAAATAACAACTATCATTTGGGATGAAGCACCTATGACAAATAGATATGCTTTCGAAGCATTAGACAGATCATTAAAGGATATTCTAGATTGTAATGCTCCATTTGGTGGTAAAATTATGATATTAGGAGGGGATTTTTGTCAGGTGCTTCCTGTTGTTCTAAAGGGTACTAAGGCAAAATGATATATGCATGTATTTTAAGTTTCATTTATGGCCTATCACAAAGGTTTTACATTTGAGACAAAACATGCGATCATTACAAGATCATAATTTTGCAGAATATAATGCGCATTGGAGATGGTAATGAACCTACCAAATGTGATGATATGGTAAAAGTACCTCATCAAATTGAGATAACATGGGAAGGGGAAAATTCAATACAAAAACTTATTCGTGACACATTTCCACAATTACAATCTCATACATGGGATGCTTCTCTTTTAAGAAAACCTTTCTTGAACAAAGATGAGTGATCATTCATATAATTCTAGTGTGTATATGCATAACTCTCATAGTAGTAGACCTAGTGTTAGAGATGAACTTAGGGAACTAAAAGAGTACCAAAGAAAAAAAGAAGAGGAAAAAATAAAAAAGAGGGGAAGAAATTAGAAAGAGGGAAAAAGAAAATGCAAAGAATAATAAAGAAATAAGACAATTACTTGCAAAATTAGTTGAGGGGAGAGAAACTAGTGGATCCAAACTTAAGGTTGTTCCAACTAGGTCTCAAATAGCCAAAAGGGTTAGAACCCCTAAGAGTATGCACGAGGAAGAAAATACAAAAAGAGAGGAAGAACATAGAAGAAAAGAAAAAGAAAAGTAAACACGAATGATAAAGAAAGAAAAAATAAGAAAAGTATAGAAAGGGTTAAAGAGTGGTTAGAACAAGAAAAACAACAACCAAGACTCTTAACAAAGAGTAAGGAGGATAATATTTCTTCCAAAGAGCTTATGTTTAAAGAGAGTCACTTTACCATTGAAAATGATTTAAAAAAGACTCTCTTCATTCATCAAGAGCTTAACTTTTTCTCTCATATTGCCACTAGTCATGAAGTGGAGGTTCAAAAAGAAGTTCTTTTTAAAGAAAAAGAATCTCAACTTCAAGAATTAGTGAAGAAGAAGTGGACTTCACTTAGTCTTACTTCTTGTGCTACTTCCTTGGTGGTGCCCAAGGTAGATAAGCCTTCTTTCTTTAAGGCTCTTTCTACTTTAGTTGTCTTCATAAAACACCCAACTGTTGGTTTGTATGGTTTGTTGGATACATCTCATGGTGTCATATTTTCTATTTTTGATCTTGAGGGAAGTTCTAACTTATTTGAACTTAACTTGACTATTCCCCTACAAGACAAACTTAGATTTTATGAGTCTTCTAGACTCCTCTTAACACCATTTTCTCATATGTATCTAACAAATAATGCAATATAAAGTTGTTTAGGTGAATTTTTAGTTGTTTTCTTTATTTTCCAAGACATACCTAGGTCAATACATTGGGTACCTGCAACAAGATATTTTAGCTTTTAGGACTAATGCTTTAGTGTGCTATAGTTTTAGTCTTTTTACCTTTTTAGGCTTTAATTATACACCTAGACTTCACCACGGGGAGGATCCTACCTTTAGCATTAGAGAGTCTAGTCCTTTTAGTTTAGACAATCTTTTTAGAATTTTTAGTGGAACTCCTCTTAGGATGCACTTTTCATTTATATCATATATTATTGCCTCTAATGCTTATTTTTATGTTATTGTTGGTCATGACGTCCACCATGAAGAACCTTTTGATTTGAGGTCAAATCCTTTTCAAGAGGGAGGGAATGATGAAATCACACTAAGATCAAGAAGACCAAGAGGTGATATATTGAAGGAGGCAAGAGAAATGGGGTAATTAGTTTTGAAAACCATAAGAAGAGTGAGACTACTTTTGGGCCTTAGCTCCTAAGTTTTTATTAGTATAGGATTTATTCCTATTTTTGCCCTTGTCTTTAATTTTCTATTTTACCCTTGTATTTTGGGTACCTTAGACATAGGATTTATTTTTTTTGTATTTCCCATTTTACCCTTGTATTTTGGGGTGTCTTAGTCATAGGATTTATTTTTTACTTGTATTTCCCATTTTACCCTTGTATTATGGGGTGTCTTAGATTATAGGATTTTATTTTATAGCTAGGGTATTTTATTAAGGTTGAAAACTAAGCCTAGACATGTTTTTTGGTGGCATTGGATTTATTTTTGGACTTGGCAAGGCTTAGGCCCAAGTGGAGGGCACCTAGGTTGCATGGTCTTATCATGCACCTAGATGTAGCTTAACCAAACCCAAAGATTCCATCCTTGGCCACCAAGTAGCATCTAGGGTTAATTTAATTTAAGTTTCATTTGAAGTGCATTTGGATTGTATTATTTGGCCATGCACTCTCAAATGTAACCCTAAATGCATCCTCCCTTCTATAAATACCCTAGGCTAGCCTCCTTGTAAATACTTTGGAAATTAATATAGAGTGAGCCTTTTGTGCCTTTATATTTTCCTTAGTCTCTCTTGGTCATTTTTGGCCAAGAACCCTACCTATCTCCACCTTGAGTAAAAACTCTAGGAGTGGCCTTCATCTACCTTGGAGTGAGCCAAAACCTAGAGTACCCCTCTCAAACCTTTCATCAAACACTTCATCCACACTTTCCATTTCTACCCATTCCACCATATTCCTTCTCCAAACTAGATGCCACCTTTGAGGGACTTGAGCCGAGAAGTCAAGGTGTCCTCATATTGATCAACCATTCCATCAATGCAAGCAAGGATGCCATCAGCCTGAGTCTGCTATTTATAGACGTCAGACCTGACCAGAACGACCCTTTTTGGGCCATTCAGTTATGAGGTAAATTTGAACCTAGAACGGCCCGTTCTGATGACAAAATGGTCCGTTCTAGATTTGAACGTAACTCATAACAAACTACACTAGAATGACCCATTTTTGCCTGTTCTCGATTAGGGTTTTTGACCTCTTTTTAGTAGCTAGGAATGACCCGTTCTAGTTTAGGAGCGGCCCGTTCTGGCTTGGGAACGACCCGTTCTGATTTTGGAACAGCCTATTCTGGGATACTAAACCAAGTTTGTTTGGGCTTCAAACTTCTTTGTTGTCATATGGTGCCATATCCATGCTTTGGGTGTCTACAAGACCACTTTGAAACCTTGCAATGGTGGTTCTTTCTTCTTCCCTAATTCTAGCCCTCATCATAAGCAACTCCTTTTGTTGGCTACACTTTGGTTTCTTTGTTGGAGTCTTTGGAGCTAGTCCATCAACTTCCTCTCAAAATATGGAGGAATGTGCCTTCTCCTTAAGACACTCCTAAGCTCATTCCAATATTGAATTGGAGGCTCAAGATGAGTCATTATTTCCCTTTCAAGGGAAGTCCACCAATACATGGAATAACCTTAAAAGCTAAGGGTAGCCATGGCAACTCTTCTCTCTTCACTCATTGTGGCAAGTGAAGAGTTTTTCCACCTTCATCTCCCAATCTAAGTAATCTTCAATGTTATCTTTTCCATGAAAGGGAGGAAAGTCAACTATAGGTTCCCTAAGAGAGTGTGATTCATGCCTAGGCTTGTTTTGCCTAGCGGGTCTTTGATAGTACCCATCATCATGGTGACTACTATAAAACCCTTCACTAGACTTTGAGTAAGTGTGTGAATGATGGATCTTGGACCATGATCCTCCTTCCACATGCTTGCATCTAGAAGGTTTGGAAGGTCCCTCACCATCTTGTCTTTTGGGCTTTGAAGGCTCATTGTCCTCATGGACTTTGGGTTTGCTAGTCTCACCACCCACTACTAGCTTGTTTAAAACCTCTCTTATTGTTTCATTATTTTTTTCATTTTCTATTTTTTTCTTTCTAATATAGTCCCTAAGTTCCCTAAGTTCTTCTTTAGTACTCCTATGACTTCTAGGAGAATGATGACCATGCACACTACTATCATGGGAATGATCACTCATTTTTGTGGGAAAAGATTTTCACAAGTTTTTTTTTTCTAAAAACTTGCAAAAAATTTAGTGATAAAGGTTTTCACAAAATAATTTTATTTTTGGTGCAAGACTAAGTACTTGGAGGTCTAATTATACAAGTTGTACTATCAAGAGAGGTGAGCTACAAGGAGCCACTTAATAACCAAACCTTTTCAAGTAGAAATTACTAAACCCCCTTATACTTGTCTCACAAAACGATTTTTTTCACACAAAGTCAAGTAAAGTGTGAGTGTGTGCACGAAACCCCTAGTAGGCAAAGAAGCCTTCTAAACAAACTTGGAACGTTCCTAGTTATAATTAGAAAGTAAACTAACGAAGGAAAGCAAGTAATGGAAGCAAGTAAAGCATATACTAGTTGGATTCCCTAGGGTGGAAGTTCAAGTAACACTAAGAGTCCCTTAAACCACTTCCACAAGTACTATACGTTCTATGAAAGCAAGTAAACTAGTCGAATCCTAGTTGAAGCCCAAATGACACTTAGAGTCCTTTGGGGACACTTCCACAAGTGCTAAACGGTTACTAATCTTTATTTAAAACTATTTAGGAAGTGGTGGAATTAAGCAAAAGTTTTCCCAAAAACAATCACTCCTAAATATGAGTTTGAGTTAGCAAAAGAAAGCAAGAAATTAACCCAAGGATAGGGTTAATCAGTTACTGTAGACCCCTAAAATTGTCCGGGTCGGAAATA